CGCCCTGCGCCGCAGGAGCTCGAGCTGGCCCGACCTGTCCCCTCCCTTCTCCCCTCCCCCCTTCCTGCTTCAGCACCTGCCCGTCGCTCCCAGGAGGCTGGGACTTGTCGTCACCGTCCCTGGGCTAGTCCTTCCTGTCTAGGCCGAGAGTGATCAGATCTTTTTGTCTAAAGGCGTGGTGGTCGCGCTTGGCAGAAGCCAGGCTGCCTTCCCTTCGCTGTCCCGAGAAGAAGGAGGAGGCCACTGTGTTCCCCATTTTGCAGGAGAATGTTTGTGGGTCGCCCCAGGCCCTGGCTTCCTCCTCTGTGCTCTCTCCTCTGCTACCTGACTTGGGCGGAGGCGGGACTTTAAAGCCCGCTTCAGCTGCAGCCTGCCTCCTCCTCCAGGCACCTCACCTGCAGTATTTCTAACACTGAAACACACTTGCTGAGTTCCACAACCCGCCCAAGGCCTCTGGGCCAGTGAGTAATTTAGAGACCGGACTTGACAGCTCGGGATGGGTTTTCCACAAACGGAGATGCTTTGTTAAATTTTTGAAGAAAGACTGAGTGAGTGAATGAATGAATGAATGAAAGCAGGAGGCCAGAAATGGCCAAGAGAAGAAACCTGAAGGGCGGGTCCACAGGGCCCCTTTCTTCAGGTGTGAGTGGAGGAGTAAGTGCCATGTGCATTCAGGTCAGTTGTTGGGGTGTAAAAGTGAATGATGCTGGCTCCTTTCCCTCCTCCCAGGGGCCTTTTGTCTCTGGCTTCTGTCTGTTCTTCTTCTATTCTGGAGGCCACACACCAAGTTCAGGGGCACAAGGCCACTGGGCCACAGGGAGAGGCAGTGGATGGTTTGCCAGGAGATTCAGCCCCTATTGTCACTGCAATGCCAGCCACTGATTGAGAGAGAAAAGGGCTTGGGTAGCGAGGCCCTTTCGTGAGCCTGGAAATGGAGGAGTTTGCCGTGGTCTGGAGCTGAGATAAGTGTTCCTGGGGATGACTTACTTTGCCAAGTACTTTGCCCCAGAGGTAACCACGTGGTGCAATTTCAGTCGTAGGATGAGTAAGACCAATAGGGAAAGGCCTTGAGTAGTAGCTGTGGATGGAGGCTGAGTGAGCCCGGTTCCACGGGACTCAGGAGCTCTCTGGATCTACTCTCCATCACCTTCCCAAATTGTGCCACCTAGGAGGTCAAGTTAAAGGGTCAGGGGATGAAAGGAGGAACAGTGGAGCTGGAGACAGCTCTCTACTCTCTTCCTAAGCCTCTGTAAGTCACATGCCCACAGGGCGCAACGAGCCAGACCCTGCCCTTCCCGGGAGAGCGCCCGCACCCTCGGATATGATCCTTGCCCACGCAGGCCCCTGCCTGCCAGCCTTGCTTTGAGTTTAGGAAGAAACAGTCTTAATGCTTTCAGGGGTTTTCCCTCAGGAGAGGGAATCGAGTCAGACAGTCATTGGGCTGGAGGTCCTGGAGCTCACCTGGGTGTCACTTCCGCTGGATGGAGTCACAGAGAGGGGAGGTGACACAGTCAAGGCACCCTGCAAGTGACCTTCAAGGCAGAAGCCAGTGTCTGTCCAGGAACCCACAGCTCTCCTTCCTAAAAAGTCCTGGTCTAACTCTGCCGGCACATCGGACTGGCCAGGTCCCCGGGCCCTCCCTCCGCTCACCATGCTGCCACACTCGGCCCTTCGCAGCTTGGCTCCCACCCTGTGGCTCTGCCGAAACCCCCCAGGTTGACATGGCTTTTTAAAATAAAATCAACTGTTTATTTTGGAACAATTTTATACTTACAGAGAAGTTGCAAAGGTAGCATGAGAAATCCTATGTACTCTTCACCCAGGTGGCTCTAAGGTTAACCTCTTGCATCCCATGATGCATTTGCCAAAACGAAGAAGCGAATGCTGGTATGACTATTAACTACACTCTAGGCTGGATTTGGAAGTTTCCAGTGTGTTCACCAATATCCTTTTTCTGTTCCAAGATTCCATCTTGGAAACCACATTGCACTTAGTCGTGCTGTCTCCTTAGTTTCCTGGGATCTGTGACAGTTTCTCAGTCTTTTCGTGTGTTTTTTATGATCTTAACAGCCTGGAGTGCCTGCAGGATGTCTCTCAATCTGGGTTCGTCTGATGCTTTTCTCATGATTAGCTATGGATTTTTGGTAAGAACAGCACAGAGGGGGAGAGCTCTTCTCGCCACCGCATCCTATCAGGGGTGGGTGACACCCCCACGACATCACTGGGGGGCGTGCACCTTCGTCACTTGGCTAAGTCTCCACCATAAAGTTTCTGTTTTCCCCTTTCCCTGCTCTGCCCACCCTGAGAGCAACTCACTAAGTCCATGACATGTCTTTTAAATGTATTTTAAGCAATAGATTACTGATCTCTCTTGCTTTTTTATCAAAACGTATTTGTTGTAGAAACCTGGTCACTTGTCCCGTAATGTGTCTCGGAGCCTGGTTGTGATTCAACATGTTCCTTTGCCCTCGATGGTTCCTATAAACTTGCAGTTGAATGTGGGGGCCTGATCTAATCCGTGTCTGACTTTTTCCAGCAGGACCACTCGGGGTGGGGTGGTGAACTTCCGCCAGGAGGCACCGATTGTCTCCTTTCTGTGACAATGGCAGCTTTGATACCCACTGTGTTGCCTTTAAATTCCTCAGGACTTACCTTATCAAAATATTTCCTAAATGAAGACGGGTCATTTTCCACCCTCATTGCAAATAGTAGATTTCAGCCAATCAAAGCTATCACTCATGGTAAGAAACACCATTATGTTATGTTCTGCTGAGAAAGAAAAAAGAAACCCACTGGACGCCCTAGCCGGTTTGGCTCACTGGATGGAGCGTCGGCCTGGGGACTGAAGGGTCCCAGGTTCGATTCCGGTCAAGGGCATGTACCTTGGTTGCAGGCACATCCCCAGTAGGAGGTGTGCAGGAGGCAGCTGATCGATGCTTCTCTCTCATCGATGTTTCTAACTATCTATTCCTCTCCCTTCCTCTCTGTAAAAAATCAATTTACTAGAAGTTCATTCAAAGTCAGCAGGACGCTCTGACATGCGGGTATCTGATGTGCTTCCCGCAGCCTTAGCAGTGCAGGCATCTGTCACATTGGGGGCCTTTGTTGTGTGACTTGGACGTTTCCTTCATCTACCCCGGGGTCAGCAGTTTCCTCTACCTCCCTCGTGTCACCTGGTGTGTGGTCCGCTCTTCTTCTGCACGCTTCTCAGTGACAAATCAGCAAATTCTGTTTCTTCTGGGTCCTTCCTTAAGTCCCATAAGCGCTGGGTTGTAGCTTTGCCAGGACATATGGAATTGCAGTCATTCCTCTAGTGACACATATTTGCTAAGTCGTTGTCTCACTGCCCTATTCCCAGGCCTTTCTGTGCCCGTGCCAAGTTTCCGTCTCCATACTGAATCAGATTGTAATTTTTGACGCTATTTTAAATGATAAACCCCATCCACATGCATAGGACCAGCCAACCATGCAGATAATTCAACGGAGGGTCGTGTAATAGGAGCAGTTATGGCCAAGTGCGAGCATGTACTGGCCCCACAACCGAGCCAGGACCGCCGCTCATGGCTACGACTAGGAGAGGCACCCCCATTTCGGAGATGTTTACAGTTTTTAAAAAATGCATTTCAGAATTGATGAAATACAGACCTTCTGGCTATGTGGCTGGCAAGAATCCCATTGATGTGTCTGGGGGACCTCCCCCCAGAACTTAGCTCAGTGCTTCCATATTCCAGCGTTCGCCCAGTGGGGAGGCCCTGGCGCTGGAGGAACTCTCGGCCCTCACCCACTTTGGGGAACTCTGCTCGGGGGTTGTGGCTGTTCTCTCTTGGGGTGCAGGTGTCCTCTGCTCCTCTGTGAGATGTGCCCTGGGGTCCGCTCCCACCCTCTTCTGGCATGACCAGCTATGACTGGTGGGCAGGACAGTCTAATGTAAGTGATATATTCATGAGCCCCTTGGTCCCAGGTCTAAGCTGAGTCCTCTGCTCTGCTTTATCAGTAATGAAATAAAGGACACACACTCCCAGACTGCCTGGCGCTGTGTGGTCTTGGGCAAGTCACCTAACCTCTCGGTGCTTGTCTCCTCACCTGTAACCTGGGGATAAACAATAGTGCCTACCTGATGGGGTTGCTGTGAAGATCAGATCGGATAGTACACGTAAAGCACTGAGCACAGTGGCAAGCATGCTACAGCGTTAGCTATTATTGGAAAGACAACATTTTGATCTTGTTTCCTGAGTCATTTTTCAAGAATAAAAAAGACATGGAGACTCTGGCAAGCTCGGTCCCTAATGATGCCAGGGAACAGGAGGTAGGAGGTCAGGCAGGCCTTGGCTTGCTACTCGGAGCTACTGGCCCCAGCCAACAGGTAGCGAGAAGAAAGCAAGGAACTGCGTGTCCTCCAGCCATCCTGGCCTCCGGAGGGGAGGAGCCTGTTGAAATGGTGCCACCTGGCCGGTGTGGCTCAGTTGGTTGAGCATCGTTCTGTGTACCAAAGGGTTGCCGGTTCAATTCCTGGTCAGGGCGTATGCCCAGGTTTTGAGCTTGATCCCCAGTAGGGGTCATGCAGGAGGCGGCAGATTGATGTTTCTTTCTCACATTGATGTTTCTTTCTCCGTTTCTCTCTCTGTAAAATCAATAAAAAACACATTTAAAAAAAACAACAACAACAAGAAAGAAAGAAATGGTGCCAGAAGATTCAAAGGTGATGGCGTGCAGGTGCCTGGAGACTGACTGTCTTCCAGCGTCCCCTCCTGTCATGTTGCCTTGGGCAGGACTGTCCACTCCGTATCCCCACAGTTTCTACCTCCTCTTATAATTCAGGATGTCTGTTTCATATCCATTCCCCACACCTGCCCTGTCCAATCTAATTTCTCTGTCACCAAAGATGAATCTGCTCTTTCTTATCTTCCCACCCTGGGCCTTAGCATGGTCCATGGTTGGCTCCAAAGCCTGGGCCGGTTGTTGGAGCAGCTCTTTACAGTGAGTGAACTACCAGGGACTCTGGTGCCGACCCCTCCTGAGACCTGGGGCCTCAGGTCCCATCCCAGGCAGGACCCTCTCTTGCCTTTCTGAGCTGCTAAGGGAAGAAAGACATTGAGAGAGGCAGGCTGCCTTTAAAGACTTCAACTTTGGAAAGTTTGCACTACAGGGAACAAAACTTTGCTACGATCTTTCTGGTTGTTCAGAAGATGTCCCGTGTTTCTCTCTTTTTCTCACTCCCTCCCCTCCCCATGCTCTTCCCCTCTCTGGGTGCGGTGGTGGGACTGGACAGGGTGGAGGGGCTGGGGCTGGGTGGGGCTC